AGTTGCCTGGAGATATGCTTCAAACTACAGTAACATCAGTATAGGAAGCATCATAATATGCAAAATCTGACCTTACTTGTTGCATTCAAGTACAGCACCACTGATATCCTTACAGCACCACTATTACCCATGAAATTTGTTATGTGAAAATGTAATTTCTAAATGTCAGTACTTAAGCATAGGCTTAGATATTCCCCCAATATAGAAGATATCTCACCTGGTATAGTTTACTGAGACACTGAGCTCTGCCTTGTCAAATAGAGCTCTTCATAATCCGGCAGTGGAAATCCATCAATGGCACTGTCAGGAAGCCGATTGGAAAAGGGTAAGATCTGGCACCTTATTGTGTGTGCTGTACAGTAGTTACCATAGCTTAGAGTGACTCTGTCACTACAGACTTAGCCCAAGGCTATGGCACTGCAAAACAGGTGTGTTCAGACTTGCCACCTCTTAGAGAGGTCCGTATTCAGTGTCTTCTATTGCAGGATGCCATTGTTAGAATTTATAGGGGAAGAGATAGAGTTGCTTTAAGGCCCCATTTACACCAGATGCAGTGGCGTGCGTTGAAATGTCAACACAACGACATCTGAAATTGAAAGACTGTGAATGGGAGCAGTTCACACCAGTGCATAGTGTTGATGTAAGCTGCCCTGCGTAGAATAAAAAAAGTAGAGCAGGCTCTCGTTTTTTTCAGCGCAGTGTAATGCAACACGTGTTTAACGTGTGCTAACACAACTCAATGCACATCACGCAAGGCAAAATAAACACCTTTCATAGCTTAGTGTACAAATCAAACAAAAAAAAATGCAATGCATGTCAACTTACAGGACAGTTGAACGCACTTGTGTTGCGTTACATCCAATGCACACATTTTGGTGTGAACGCTTTGTATCCTATCACAGGTTTAATTTTGCTGACTCATTTTTATCATCTGCATGGCATCACTGCTCTCACGTAAAGAGTGTATGTAAACCTTTGATATATTATCATACACGCTGAAATTTTTATGGCCAGTGGCCACTCCTTCACAATTATATATTTCCTTGCTTATGATATTGCAAGTTCTAACAAGTAGTTCCTTCATACCTTGATTAAATTCCTTTTATGTTCGGTTGTGTACGTTGTCTGTACTCTGTACTGTAAACATTATGAAATATAATGCTGCAACAAAATAGTATTATAGTAATAATCAGTGTCGTCTTAATATATGATGTTACATGTTTTGTTTGCAATTATTGACTCTTTAGCACAGCATCTACAAGCATCAACGCCATGGCTGCGGTAACAGTGGAGGATCTCATTAAGCCATATAAGTCACAGATTTCTATGAAAAACCTAATATACATTTCAAAGGGACTCTGTGAGTATTTTATTTTAGTGCCTACTCGACTAACATGCTTTCATTATTTATACAGGAAACTGAGTAGTGATTCCATACTGCAGGAATCATAATTTTTTTTATCAACAGATGAAAAGCAGTGGTAAGAAAATTGCGTTTTGGAAACCAGGCTCATTAGAAGAGAATCATATAATTCATGAATTATGATTGGCTAGATTGCTAAACTGCATAATTGTCTGCAGATAGACAGGTTCATATGCAAAATGTGTAGAATTAGCATTCTCCTGTCATCCTCAATGATTTTAGGCAGAATGTGAGTTAAAATGCAGCTAAAGCCTAACCTCTATTTTTAGTTGTGGGTAGAGTGGAGAGGGATTAAAATACCTATCAGTGACCCCTTTAGGGAGATTCAATCCCCCCCCTCCCCATTTGTCCTTTTGACCATTATCACTTATCACTGAAAGGGAAAGAAAATCCCAAATTTTGAGTTGTCAACAGAACAGGAATAGATGAGAAATCTTCCAATAGGAACACTAGTTCTGGTGACCCTGTCGGCCACCAGGGATTTGCCTCTCTTTGGAGGGATTTTCTCTCTGTTCCCTTAGGAAATGAGGGGAAATCTACCCAATAGGGACATAGACAACAAAATAACTCTGACAGGGGTTATAACCCTCCCTTACTGTATCCAAAACTAAAGAAAAAAGTTTTGTCCTCAGTTCTATTTTAAACTGACACTATCACTTTGCCCAGTCTGGCATGTGAATGTACTGTGGGTAAGAATGGCAGTTCAACCCAACCAGTTTTTTTACCTGCCCCAACACACTAGGATTTAGGGATGCTACAAAATTGAATTTTTAGACCAAAACCGAAAAGAATTTGTCAGGCCGAAACCGAAACCAAAACCAAAAATGACATTTTTTTCCCAAACTTTTTTAATTATTTTTTCATTATTTTTTTTTCTTTACTGTTGGGGGCTCTGGGGAAATGTAAGGGGTCTAAACAGACCCATGATATCTCCCTTTAAAATAAACAGATTGAGGACAGCAGGGATCCATTGGCTCACACAATTTCAGGAGGCCGAGCTAGGCAGTGCTGGGAGGAGACAGCTGTCAGCTCGCACAGGAGGCTGAGCTCTCCTCCCTTACCTCTCCGCTTAGCCTCCGGTGATAGGCAAGTCAGGAAGCCGAGCAGAGCGGTGCGGGAGGAGAGAGCTGTCAGCTGTCATAGGAGGCCGAGCTCTCCTCCAGCACCGCCCGGCTCTACCTCCTGTGACAGGCGAGTCAGAATGCAGAGCGGAGTACAAGCGCTCAGCAAACAGGACTATTCGCTGAGTGTTTGTAAATAACTGGGGACATAGTATGCTTACTGTGTCACCGTTATGAATGAACAGGAAGTGCTCTACATCACCTCCTGTTCATTCATGATTGTGGATGTAGTAACTGATACTATCTCCACAGTTTATGAATAGACAGGAGCACTCAGTATAGAGGCTTCCTGTTCATTCATTACAGGGGCTGCAGAAAAAGAGATTTAGGACCCTGTGTCCTCAATCTTTTTCTATTTTAAAGGGGAAATATCAGGGGTTTGACATTTTCCCAGTGCCCCCAACAGTAAAGTTAAAAAAAGAAGAAAAATAAAATAAAAAATAATTTACAAAAAAAAAATTTAAAAGGTTGGAAAAAAAATTTCATTTTCAGTTTCGGCCTGACAACGTTTTTTTTTTATTGTCAGTCTAAAAATTAAATTCCAGTGCATCTCTACTTTAAACAACTATGTCCCAGTTCATGCCTACATGCAATCCCACTGGTGTCTCCTCAAGCAGGCCTTAACATTCCATAATTATGAGTTCTCTACCTTTTACAAGGTGGGAGGCCTCTCCTGCATATTCTAAAAAAGCAGGTTGCTGCCTATACATCTTTCCAGTTGTTTGGCTGTTGTTTATTCTAGCACAAGATACCAGTTAGTAGCCGGCTCTTCCTGCTGCTCCACATAGGTAGCCAAGGCATCCATATAATGTACTAACCTACCAGTTTAACTAACCCATTAATCCAGGTTAACTGTCATATATGAACATCATCCATTATTGCATCACTGCCTTCATAAGGAAGTATTATGCAACATTATTTGCATAACCTTAAAATAACAAGAAATGATAACCTTCCTCAGTAGGCTATGGAAATCACAATGGTTGGGAATTCATGACCTCTAAACTTCCTGCAGCATGAATTCCTGTAGTATGTCTGTCCTACATATGGACATCAATGGATATAAATCCAGAACAACTTGTAAAATGTCACACTTAATTTCACAATTACCTTCCTCAGTTAAATACACGTTTACCCTTTTCTGGACAATTCAGTTCATTATTTGACGCTTGCTAAACTTTGATTCTTATTTGTGTGGTACAATGTGTTAGCTGTAGAAGGACAAGCGAAGAGGTTGAGCTTTTTGAAATGATGCTGTTAGTACAGGAATTAAATGCATAGCCAGCCTATAAAAGATTGCAAATACTTACCTTTCCAGCAGCCCGTGTCTTAAAACTCGGCTACATAGCTGATCTCTGGCTGCTGTAGGTAACCAATACTTAGGGGTATCTTATACTTGCTCTTCTACTATGTGGTGTAGTTCCTTCGCCGGGTCCTACGTCATTACAGCAGTAGGAGACATCGGGAGGAACTACAGTGTATGATGGGTGAGCAGATATTCGACATACCCAGAAGTGTCAGATAACTGCAGTTCCAGAGATCAGCTAGATGACCAAGTTTTTGGACACAGTTAAGTTTGACCATGGTGGGTAGAGGTACTGCATGTGTGTGTGTGCTTGCAAAGACATCAAGGGCAATGGCTTGCATGGATTCCGACTTGGCCATTTTGGAACAAGAGTTGTGCTGTTGAATGATAAGTAAGTTGTGCTCTGGTGTATTAAACTGTTTAATGGATGACAGTGTGCAATTACAATTTTTCGTAATTATCGCTAAGGTACCATACCCATTCCAAGTGTATATGAACATTGTAATAAACAGATGTGGAATAACAGACCAATCTCTCTCCCTTAGATAATAAATTATGCTAAATATCTTGATGTATCTTAAAGATCTGCACTCTAAAGGAAAGCAGTATTTATAGAATCAATTATAACAAGCTCACCTTTCTTGTTTGTATGCAAAATAATTATTTTACAGATTCTATGACTCAGTGATATAGCAGGTGCCACATGCAGGGAGATCTGCTTAAACATATTACATAACATTAAGCACAACAATAGAATTTCATTGTGAGAACAAGCTGTAAAGCACAATTATGTAGCAATGCGCAGCAGGACGCATAAACAATTATCACAGGGACAGAAAGTGATGACCAATCCAAAATTGTACAACTGTCACTGAAATAGGAAGTAAGGGGAAATCTACCAATAAAGACATCTATTGCAATGAGCACTCTCTAAGATGAGATTTACTTTCACTTTGTTATGTTCCTGGGAGAAGAAGTACAGGGTAATATCCTCAATGGGAGACAGAGGTTTGTAACCATTTCCAGCTCTATCCAAAATGTAAACACATTTGGATTACAAATACATTTTAAATTAAATGACTTTTGAATGTTTGTGTGCTCAATGAGAGCTTGTAGTAATTGCTAAAGTACAACATGAAAATTATAAAACAAGTAATAAATACACTTGTTGTTATTAAGTTGCTTAACCAGTTGACATCCGCGGTGTTAAACCCCCTTCCCATCCAGGCCATTTTTCAGTATTCAGCGCTGCGGTACTTTAACTGACATTTATTCCGTCATGCAGCGCTGTACTGAAATTAATTTTATACCCTTTTTTGGGGACAGATAGAGCTTTCTTTTGGTGGTATTTATTCACCACTGGGGGTTTTATTTTTTTAATATATTAAGGAAAAATTACCGAAATGTAAAAAAAAAAAACAGTTTCCCCTATATTAAATGATAAAACATTTATTATTACCCAATTTTTTGGTAAAATATAAAAGATGGGGTCACGTCGGGTAAAAAGACACTAAACATGTCAAGCCTTAAAATTGCGTGCGCGCGCGAAACCTCAAAAAACGATAATACCCAAAATTGGCCATAGGCGACGCTTTAAAAGCTGTTACCGCTCATCAGTTTAGTGTTATCAGTGATTGA